AAGGTCAGAAGAGGGTGAGAAAATGAGGATTTCATCCACATAAACCACCATGAAACTCCTCTGCTCCCCCTCGCCAAGCATGAACAAGGAGTGATCGGCCGTTGAGGGAGTGAAGCCGATCCCCTCCAACACTTCGCGCAGCTTCATGTACCATTGCCTAGGGGCCTGCTTCAGCCCATAGAGGGCCTTCTTCAGCTTCCACACTCTGCCACTACCATCATCAAACCCCTCTGGCTGCGCCATAAAAATCTCCTCCTCAAGGATGCCGTTAAGGAATGCCGTTACGATGTCCATTTGCTTTACTACCCATCCTTTGATGGCGGCTCCCGCGAATAGGGTTCGCAGCGTCGTCGGCTTCACCACAGGGGCAAACAGCTCCTTGAAGTCCACCTTCTCCTTCTGCTGGTACCCCTTGGCTACAAGCCTAGACTTGTAGCGCTCGATCTTGCCGTCGGCATCCGACTTGATTTTGAAGAGCCACTTGGACGTTATCGCCGTACGCCCCTCCGGTAGCTCCACCAATTCAAACGTGTCATTCTCCTCGATGCTCTTCAGCTCACTCTCCATGGCCTTCTTCCACTCCTCAGCATCACTACTCTCCAAAGCCTCCTTGAGAGTTGCTGGTTCTCCCGGCATCTCCACCAGAGAGAAGAACGCGAAGGCACACTCCTCGTAGTCACTCTCCTCGTCGTCTCCGACCATCATTGCCGCTCCGGCCAGGGCTGTCTTGCCCTGCTTTCCCGGCGCATCATAGGTCAGCCTATTAGGGGGTTGAACTCTCCTCTTCCCCCTTCCTTCCTCCTCAGCTGCAGGGACTTGAAGGCCTTGGCGTTGCTGCGGTGTGGCTCGAATCCGTGGAGCACTCGTAGTACGGGAAGGGAGTGACGGTGCACGCTCGCTCACTTGCTGCACCTCCTCCTCTTCTTCCTCTGCATCATTGGCCTCCTCTCCCCCATTCACAAGGGAGGATTGCCTTGTGGTTGTGCTGCCGCTGCTCAGCTCCAAAGGCAGCTCCACATGCTCCAAACCGGAACTCTTCACCTCCCCAAACCGCACGTCTATCTTCGCCTCATTCTCCGCCTTCCAATCCTTGTACATGAAGTTCTCCATGAACTTGCAGTCCCTGCTCACCAAGAACTTCTTGGTGAATGGGTCCCAAAGAAGCCATCCCTTGCTGTTTTGAGCCATGCCCAAGTGCACGGCCCACACCGCCTTGGCACCAAGCTTGTTGTGCCGAAGATGCTTAGGCACGAGCGCCATGCACATGCACCCGAACACCCGAAGCATATCCACCTTTGGCTTCCTTCCTAGCCACTCCACATAGGGCACCCATTTGTCTGCTCCCACATGAGTCAAGGCTCTGTTCTTGGCCACACACGCGCTCCGCACCGCATCAGGCCAGAAATAGTCGGGTAGCCCGGCTTCAATGAGCAACCCGCGTGCCGCCTCCGTGATTGTGCGGTTCGCTCGCTCGGCGATGCCGTTCATTGCAGGGGAGTATGGCATGGTGAGGGAGTGCCGAATACCATTCTTCTTCAGCCACAACCCAAACTCCTTGCTCAGGAACTCTCCCCCTCGATCGGTGCGGATTGACTTGACTAGACGGTCTTGTTGCCGCTCCACCATCGGGAACCGATCCGTCTTCAACGTTTCAGCCACGTCGCTCTTCTTGGCCAGCACGTACACCCAAGTCATGCGGGTGTAGACGTCGACAATGGTGAGAAAATACTCAGCTCCAGCAGCTCCAAGCTTCAGGGGGCCCACCACGTCCATCACCACCTCATCAAGCGGTGCCTTTGCCGTTGCCTCCGAACTAGGGAACGGAAACCGGGTGAACTTGGCTTGAATGCACGTCGGGCAGCCAAGCACCTCATCGGGCTCCCCCTTCACACGTATGCCAGCAACCATCTCATTCTTCACTAGCTGCTGCAAGATGGGCAGGGCCACATGCCCCATGCGCCGATGCAAGGTGAGCCAATCACACTCCCCCGTAGCCGAAGTTGGATTGGAGAATGCCGCGCTCGCAATAGCGCCCCACATACTCTCTCCGTAGTCCTCCTCCGCTGCTGCCTCTGGGTTCTCCTCACCCTTTTGCTGCTCCTTGGTTGCTGCACCACTCTCCTTAGGTTCACTGAACTTGCTGGTCCCTCCAGGTTTGCTCTTCTTGAGCTCATTCTCCTTAGCGCGACCGTTCGCGCCATCGTCGCTACCGACCGCTCCATCCTTGGTGCTGATGCTTGCTGCCACTTGCCTCTCCTTAGGCATAGGGACCACTGGGATCTGCCACATCTCGTTGTAGACATCCCTGTCCTCATGAAGGTCCCAAAGAATTCGATCGCCAAGCCTTGCGGTGTAGGTCTTGGCTCCCTTCGAGTTCGTGTCCATTCCGGCCTTTGCCAACCGCCGCACGGAAATCAGGTTTGCAGCAAGGCTGGGCACCCAAAGCACGTTCTTGAGGCCCACCATCTTCCCATCAGCACCCTTGAACATGGCCTTGCCCATGCCTTTCACCTCTGCTCGCTGCCCCAAAGCCGATGTGACATGCTTCACCGGTGACGGCTCGAGTTCGGTGAGCAAGTCCGGGCGAGGTGTCATGCTATAGGTAGCGCCACTATCAATCACCCAATAGTCCAGGGGGTGTAGGGTCACCTTCCCCACAGCTGCTGGCTCCTCAAAGCCTTCATCCTTCTCTGGACCAGCCGGTACTTGCGTCGACACGAAGTAGAATAGACCCGGGTATCGATCGTCGCTCGGGTCCTTGTCGTTGTCTCCGCTCTTCATGTTTGCAGCTCCGCCACCGCGACCGCCACGGCCTCCACGGCCTCGTCCTCTCCCTCCTCCTGCTCCTCTACCCTCTTGGCCTTGAGCAGGGGTCCAACCATCAGGGAGTTTGTAGCAGTCGCGCCACATGTGTCCGCTCTTGTGGCAATAGTGACACTCGCCGTCGAATCGGCCGCGACCGCGTCCGTAGCTCTTGTCGTCGCTGCCGTAACCGCCACTCCTGCGGCCTCCGCCGAAGTTGCTGCCACCAAACCTTCCTCCCCCTCGTCCTCTGCCTCTTCCTCGACCATATCCACGGCCGATGCTCGCTGCCCCAGCGCCATCCGCACTCGCCAACTCACGGCGGCGGAAATCCTCTTGAAGGATAGCTCGCTTCACGTCTTCAAGCGAGAGGCGGGGCAAGTCGCGATTAAGGTTGATGATGAGCGAGGACCATGACTCTGGGAGTAAGGCCAGCAACTTGGTCTTCTTTTGGAGCTCACTGTAGTTCAAATCAGCTCCCTAAAGCCGCGTCAACAAGTCGAAGAATTTCTGCACCCCTTCTTCAACCGCTTCGTTTTCTTCAATTCGTAGTGCCGCCATTTGCCGTTCCAACACCACCGCTTCCGCCGCTGTTGCAAGAGCATGTACACCCTTGAGAGCAGCCCATGCCTTTGGTCCTTTCTCTGGTTCACGCTGGAATGGCTTGATGTGACGGATCTGACTGCTCCCCAACGCTTGCCCAAGTAAGAGATAGCCTTGTGCGCTCTTCCGCACCCACGGGCTCTTCTCCGGGTCGTTCTCGGGGCGCTTCTCCGTTCCTTCCATCACCTCCAGCAGGTCATAGTGGTCAAAGATGTTCTCCATCTTGAAGGACCATTCAGCAAAGTTGTCACCGTTGAACTTGTCAAGCCCAAACACCCTAGGCTCATCCCTAGGTGGGCCAAGACTTGGTTGCATGGGCGCCATGGCTGAATCACGGGGTTGGCCTTGAGCTTGAGCTTCTCCACTGCCACCAGCACCTCTGCCACCCCTTTCCTCAGGTCCAGACATTGTCGAAACTGCTCCAAGGGGCTCTGATACCACTTGTTATAGTCACAATAGGCTTGAATGTGCCTAAAACGAAAGATAGAGAGCACAGACGGATTTCTGCACAGCGGCTTCAAACGTTGATAGCGTTCTTCTAACAGCTGCAAATGACTTGATTGAAATTGGATCTGGAGCGTCTTCACGTCGTCTACAATTAGCAATTTAGATTGCACGATTTGATGAAGAATTGACGACACAGCGTCGGTTTGAACGAACGGTACTATGGCAGCCACTATAGTCTTAGAACACAAGATAGGAAGAGTTACGAGTTGGGAATGACTCCCAGCTCCTACAAACCCCAAGAGCCGAGGTACAGTGATGTGGAACAGTGCCACACTGTCCCCAACCACGAAGGGTCTCGAAACTACCCTTCACTAGGGCCTACACCAAGTGAAATGTTACACTACACAAAGTAATGTAACTATCTTCAATATCTTGAGGTGTACCCTTTTGGCGAGCTTCGAAATCACTTGAGGCTTGACACCAAGGCTCGGGCTCTTCATCAGAAACTCATCCTTGAGTTCTTGATGGGTCTGCTGCACACACCTGCGACACGCCGAACGTTCGACACAGGACAAAATAGAAACCGCGCACGACAAAATAGAAACCGCGCGCGAGACACAAACGACCGCGTAACACGCGTCTAGCGATAACTCGCTATTGACTCGACACACACACACTCGACATCATGACTCAACATTCACACACAATTATAAGCATGAAATATATATTATCCCATGCCCTCATACCATTCCATACACACACACATTCACGCACATGGACAACAAGCCGAGCGCAAACCGTAGGGTTGCACCAACAAATCGCGCATCAGCAGTACAGCTACGTGTCCAGCTCTTGATGCGGTTCTGCCTGCTAAAATCGCGCTCGCACTCGACGGTGCTCAACGGGAGCACCGCCAATGCCTGCCACAGCCTCACCATGTTCGGATACGTCCCTGCATAGTCCGACGACTGCAGCATCACAGTGAGCGACTTGTAGAAGTTGAGGGAGCCGTGATTGTTTTCCATCGTGTGTAGGAACAAGGTCAACTCCCTCTCGCACGTCTTGAAATCGACACCTGTTATGTATAGGGAGGGAGACAAAATACATGAGAATAAACAACTGAAACATATGGCTACGCAACACACCCACTACAATATACCTGGAAGGCAGTGGTGAAAGAGCTTGTCCAGCTGCGCCAGCCACTCGCGACACCTGCGCATGCGCAGAGTGTTGTCCTCGGGATACATCGCAGGGCGGTATATCTTGGCGCCCTTCAGGTTCTCCAAGTCCGCGAACCTGTACTCCAGGCGGCCTTTTGTCTCACGCGCGTAGTCCTGACACAACTTCTTACACGCGTAGTAGTCTCCGCCGGTTTTCGCACCATCGAGTTTTCGCTCATGCAGCTTGAACTTGTGAGCTGCTGGTGCGCCCTCCTTGTCCACGCCATCGACCGTTACTTCACGCTGCTGCGGGTTGGCTTGCTTCTTGAGAAAGTCACAGAGCAGGGGAGACTGGCCATTGCCGAAAGAATCTTCACAGTCGATGTACCGCACTTCGATCGTGCGGCATGCCAACGAAACTTCACTTGCCACGACCGTGATGTCCACCTGCACAATCAAACAGCACGCAAGTCACTGTCAGATGAGGCTATATTGCTGAAAAAATATACCACGCTCGTGTGAATGTACCTGCTGCTTTTGAAACTTGATGTTGAGATCGTTGAGGATGGCCAGCAGGTCGGCGAGGAAGAACACCAGGAAGTGGAACTTGAATGATGTGACGACTTCGTACATTGTGTGTGAATTCTCGTAGCTGGGAGAACCTTCACAAACCGCTTCACCTACTCTCCTCTCGATAACCAACGCGCGGCATGAATGCCCTGCATCTCAAGGTTCGTCTCGCACACGTACTCCTGCAGATGGCGAAAGCGGTTGTGGTGCACGGAGCTCTGCGACAGCATCGTGTTGAGCGCTCGGACGGCTTGGTCGACCATGTTGAACTCCGGCAGCTTAGTCGCGGCATCCTTGGCTGCAAGGGCCTCCCTGCAAATACAGAAAGCCAATCGGTTAGTCAACCCGAACGTTAAACAGTATCATTAAAAACACTGCCTTACCGATGGGCAATGCAATGACAGGAGAAGAGATACAGGTTCTTCGCGCGCAGACGGGCGACAAGTCCAGTGTGCTCCCCAATCATGACAGAAGCGCCGTCGGTGCTCATGCCAACGATCTTGCCGATGTCCACGCCTATCGCCTCCAGATGCGTCAGAAGAACGTCTTGTAGGCTCGCCGCATCACATTTCACGACCGTCAGTAAAGACAGGAACTCTGTCACGACCTCGTCGCCGCGCATGAATGTCGCGTACACGATAAGGTGCTTCACACGCACCCTATCCGTGCTCTCGTCCAGCATGGTGGCGATGAAGGGACTGGAGGCAATGTGCTGCAGCTGCTCGCCGCGAAGGTACTTCGATGCAGCTTCGAGTAGCTCGCCGAATCCGTACCTGCACAATGCGGACAAGGCATTTAGAACATGTGTAGTTGCAATCTAATATGAAACACTCACATTAATAAGTAGCTGAAATAACCACTTACTCAGAATAGTAGGCCCCCCTTTGATCGAGCGGGAGGTTCGGCGTTCCCATCTCCTGCATAAACTTGATGAAGCCGACGTATGAGGTGATGGGCGCCTCTGACTGGCAGGTGAACACCGCGGTCTTCAAGGCCGCGATGAGGTGCAGGGTGCTCTTATCGAGACCCTCATACTCATTGAGAATCGCCTACCGTAGTTTCTTGCTCTGCTTCGCCTTCATTGCACTATGGGCGTTGAGATGCACGGTGGAGCGTTGATGCGTGCAGATGCTTTGCTTCTGCATGTCGCGGCCGCCTGCTCCGTTCTTCCCGTATGTCGTGTTTGCATTTTCTGCGCCGTACTCCATGCATGTGCTGCACTTCAACAGAGGAAAACCATCGTTAGAGCGGATTAAAACGAGCCAGGGGAACAAACCATGCCAAGAATTATTGTAGCGCCTGTGCGCCTTGGCAAACTCGACTTCAGGATCACGTCCAGTAGACGGCGCTGTATCATCTTCTTCGTCGTCGTCAGGATCGTTGTCGCCCACCTCATCGTCAGGACTCGGCTCCCGGGTGAAGCGGAGCTTTCGCTGCCGCCATTTTTTCTGCCCAGCCCAGTCGCCAGTCTTGCGCTTGCTGCCTTCCAACTCCCGACCAGCATCCGTCAGTTGAGGTGATAGGCTGGCCGCCCCGGGCACAGGGGTCGTGGAAACAGACGCGGGCAAGGAAGGGCCATCCTCACGCGTCTGTACTGAAGGCGTAACGGGAACAGCAGCGACAAGCCTCAAAATACTGAGGCTTGTGTTATAGTCACAATAGGCTTGAATGTGCCTAAAACGAAAGATAGAGAGCACAGACGGATTTCTGCACAGCGGCTTCAAACGTTGATAGCGTTCTGCTCACAGCTGCAAATGACTTGATTCAAATTGGATCTGGAGCGTCTTCACGTCGTCTACAATTAGCAATTTAGATTGCACGATTTGATAAAGAATTGACGACACAGCGTCGGTTTGAACGAACGGTACTATGGCAGCCACTATAGTCTTAGAACACAAGATAGGAAGAGTTAGGAAGAGTTACGAGTTGGGAATGACTCCCAGCTCCTACAAACCCCAAGAGCCGAGGTACAGTGATGTGGAACAGTGCCACACTGTCCCCAACCACGAAGGGTCTCGAAACTACCCTCCACAAGGGCCTACACCAAGAGAAATGTTACACTACACAAAGTAATGCAACTATTCTCACTATCTTAAAGTTTACCCTTTTGGAGAGCTTCGAAATAACTTGAATCTTGAAACCAAGGCTCTGGTTCTTCAAGGTAAATTCTTCCTTGAGTTCTTGGAAGTCTGCTGCGCACACCTGCGACACGCCGAACGTTCCACACACGATAAAATAGAAAACCGCACACGACACGCAAACGACGACGTGACACGCGACTAGCGATAACTCGCTATTGACTCGACGCACACATTCAAAATCATGCTTCATCATACACACACTATTGTAAACATGAAATATATATTATTTCATGCCCTCATACCATTCCATGCACACACGCATGCACGCACACGGACAACAAGCCGAATGCAAACCGTAGGGTTGCACCAACAAACTCCCCCTCGGATTGTTGGCCTTAGGATCTTGCTCTCTCAGTTCAGAGCCATCCCAGCCAGCTTGCAACACTTCCAATGTTGCTGCTCCACCAGCCTCTTGGTCATCATGTCAGCTGGCTGCCCCGTGGTCTTCACGTAGCGCAACTCAACTTCACCCGCGGTTACCATGCTCCTCGTCCAATGCCACTTCACCCTCATGTGCTTCGTGAGTCCATGCAACACAGGGTTCTTAGCAAGAGCAATGGCACCCTGGCTGTCACAGTACAGTGGGGTAGGTCCTTGCTGCTCCTCCCCCAATTCAGCCAACAAACGCCGCTGCCACACAATCTCCCGTACGGCACGGAAGAGTGCCATGTACTCGGACTCCACCGAGCTCAAAGCTTGGTCAACCTGCTTCTTGCTCTCCCAAGCAGTTGGGCCTCCACCAACACAGCATATGAAGCCTCCCACACTTGTCATGTCCTCTGGTTCTGATGCATATGAAGCATCCGAGTAGGCGGTGAGGAACAAACGCCCGGGTTCAACACCATCCGCGCCCTTTTGGCGCCTTTGTGCCGCCGCCGAGTATTGCAGCCCAACGGTCGGTGTTTGGCCAAGATACTTGGCCACCCTCATTCCAGCTGCTACCTGCTCCTCATTAGGGCATTGCACAACCCTAGCCAGCTGCCCGGTAGCAAACGCGACGTCCGGTCGGGTGTTTACCGCCGCATACATGAGGCTGCCCACCAACGAGTGAAATCGGCGCCTCTCCTCTTCACCAACGCTCTCCTCCTCTGGTCCCTTCACACACTTGAACCCAGAGGGAAAGGGTGTAGCCACATGGCCTTCACTCTGCCCAAAGTTGGCAGCCAATGCCTCCAGGTACTTTCGTTGATGCACCCGCATGCACCGCTTCTCCACATCTCGTTCGATGTGGAGCCCAAGGTAGAAGCTCACGTCACCAAGGGCCTTGCACTTGAACTTGTCTTGAAGCTTCAGCATCACCTCCTTCACAAGGTCAGAAGAGGGTGAGAAAATGAGGATGTCATCCACATAAACCACCATGAAACTCCTCTGCTCCCCCTCGCCAAGCATGAACAAGGAGTGATCGGCCGTTGAGGGAGTGAAGCCGATCTCCTCCAAAACTCCTCGCAGCTTCAAGTACCACTGCCTAGGGGCCTGCTTCAGTCCATAAAGGGCCTTCTTCAGCCTCAAAACTCTGCCACTACCATCATCAAACCCCTCTGGCTGCGCCATGAAAATCTCTTCCTCAAGGACGCCATTGAGGAATGCCGTTGTGACATCCATTTGTTTTAATACCCATCCTTTGATGGCGGCTCCCGCGAATAGGGTTCGCAGCGTCGTCGGCTTCACCACAGGGGCAAACAGCTCCTTGAATTCCACCTTCTCCTTCTGCTGGTACCCCTTGGCTACAAGCCTAGACTTGTAGCGCTCGATCTTGCCGTCGGCATCCGACTTGATTTTGAAGAGCCACTTGGACGTTATCGCCGTACGCCCCTCCGATAGCTCCACCAATTCAAACGTGTCATTCTCCTCGATGCTCTTCAGCTCACTCTCCATGGCCTTCTTCCACTCCTCAGCATCACTACTCTCCAAAGCCTCCTTGAGAGTTGCTGGTTCTCCCGGCATCTCCACCGGAGAGAAGAACGCGAAGGCACACTCCTCGTAGTCACTCTCCTCGTCGTCTCCGACCATCATTGCCGCTCCGGCCAGGGCTGTCTTGCCCTGCTTTCCCGGCGCATCATAGGTCAGCCTATTAGGGGGTTGAACTCTCCTCTTCCCCCTTCCTTCCTCCTCAGCTGCAGGGACTTGAAGGCCTTGGCGTTGCTGCGGTGTGGCTCGAATCCGTGGAGCACTCGTAGTACGGGAAGGGAGTGACGGTGCACGCTCGCTCACTTGCTGCACCTCCTCCTCTTCTTCCTCTGCATCATTGGCCTCCTCTCCCCCATTCACAAGGGAGGATTGCCTTGTGGTTGTGCTGCCGCTGCTCAGCTCCAAAGGCAGCTCCACATGCTCCAAACCGAAACTCTTCACCTCCCCAAACCGCACGCCTATCTTCGCCTCATTCTCCGCCTTCCAATCCTTGTACATGAAGTTCTCCATGAACTTGCAGTCCCTGCTCACCAAGAACTTCTTGGTGAATGGGTCCCAAAGAAGCCACCCCTTGCTGTTTTGAGCCATGCCCAAGTGCACGGCCCACACCGCCTTGGCACCAAGCTTGTTGTGCCGAAGATGCTTAGGCACGAGCGCCATGCACATGCACCCGAACACCCGAAGCATATCCACCTTTGGCTTCCTTCCTAGCCACTCCACATAGGGCACCCATTTGTCTGCTCCCACATGAGTCAAGGCTCTGTTCTTGGCCACACACGCGCTCCGCACCGCATCAGGCCAGAAATAGTCGGGTAGCCCGGCTTCAATGAGCAACCCGCGTGCCGCCTCCGTGATTGTGCGGTTCGCTCGCTCGGCGATGCCGTTCATTGCAGGGGAGTATGGCATGGTGAGGGAGTGCCGAATACCATTCTTCTTCAGCCACAACCCAAACTCCTTGCCCAGGAACTCTCCCCCTCGATCGGTGCAGATTGACTTGACTAGACGGTCTTGTTG